AAAGTAAATATCTATAACTGTCTCAGTCTTCTCAAGCTACTATAACAAAATACCATAGATTGGGTGGCTTACAAACAAGAGAAAAAGAATTTCTCGCAGTCCCAGGGAGTGGAAGTTCCAAGATCAGAATGCCAGGAGATGTGAGTATCCAGTGAGGTCCTTCTTCCTGCTTCACAGGAAGAATTCATAGCAAGCTGGCTGCTTGCTATAACATCACACGGCAGAAGACACAAGGGGTCGGTTTCATAAGGCACTAATGTGAATCTGCCTTCAAGACCTACTCACTTCCTGTTGTGTTTTAAAAGTGAAACATTCCCCAAAGACTCATGCATGAAGGGCCTGGTTCCTGAACCCGCGGTACTCAGAGGTGGGTCCTGAAGAGGTGGTGGGATCATGAGAGTGCTGACCTTGCGAGGGACTCAGTGCCTTCACGAGTTCAGCAGTGAGTGGACTGATTAAGAAGTGGGGCCAGGGGCTGGGGATTTAGCTCAGCGGCACAGCACCTGCCTGGCAAGCGCAAGGTCGTGAGTTCGATTCCCAGTACCGGAAAAAAAAAACAAAAAACAAAAAAAAAGAAGTAGGGCCTTGTTAGGGGAAATAAGTCACTCGGGCATAACTCTGAACAGTGTGTCATCCCAGCCCTTTCCTGTGTGTCTCTCTCCCTGTTTCTCTTCCTCTCTGTCTCTTTCTCTGTGTCTGTCTGTCTCTCTCTGCTTCCCAGCTGCCATAAGGCAAGCACCTCCCTCTGCCACCTCCTTCTCATCCAGTTCTGCCTCGCCTCAGACCCACACAGCAGAACCAGCCAGCTGGGAACCAAAACCTCTAAAGCCGGTAGCCAAAATAAAGCTTCCCTCCTTTAAGTTGACCTATGTAGGGTACTTTGATCACAGGGAAGCAAAACTAACACATCTCCCAAAGGCTCTGCCTCCTAATACCATCACTTTGGGGGTTAAGATTTCAACCTAAGAATTTGTGGGGGTATAAACATTCACCCCATTGCAAAAACGAAGATCAAAATGGATTCAGTGAGACAAAAGATTTATTTGATCTGACGAGAAACCAGAAATTCCATTTGACTCAGCTATTCCCCTTCTAGATATCTTCCCAAAAGAGTTAAAGGCATCATATTACAGTTATATATGCACATCCATGTTTATAACAGCACAATTCATAATAGTTATATCTTGGAAGCAGCCTACATGTCCATCAACAGATAAAGAAAACATGGTATTATACACAATGGAATACTATTCTGCTATAAAGAGGGACAGAGTTGAGTTATTTGTGGGACAGTGTACCCTGAAAACATAATGTTAAGTGAGATAAATCAGACACACAAGCTTAAATACTGTCTGCTTTCTCGCATAGGAGAAATCCAAAGTATACATAAAGAGCAAAATAAAAGATAAAAGGAAACAGAAAGATCTTCTATGAGTGGGAAAGGGACCAAGAGATACAGGAGAAGAAGGTGGACAAGGAAGGGGATATAAAAAAGAGTTAAGACATGTCATGTACGTGTACCAAATCCCACAATGAAAGTCATTATGTATCATAAACACAGATAATAAATAAATTTTTAGAAAGAAGATACAGGCAAAATGGACAAAATACCCAAATATACAAATTTAAGGTAAAACTAAAATAAACAGAAAATCCAGACTATATCTTATATATTAAACATATTGGCTCTGTTAGTATACTATCGATCTGTTAGTATTTTCCTCCTTTTATTTCTAAAATAAAAATAATAAAAAATAAATAAATAAATAAACATATTGGCTCTAATTGAAATTGTTTTTTGGGAGGCTGGGGATATAGCTCAGTGGCATAAGCACCTGCCTGGCAAGCGTAAGGTTGTGAGTTCGATCCCTCGTACCACACACACACACACACACACACACACACACAAAACAATTGTTTTTGCAGTGGAAACTCTAGTTCAGGAAGCACAACAGACACAAATGCCAAGCAAACACGCTATTCTTCCAACTAGAAAAAAAGAAAATACAGACACACTTTATCAGATCAGAAGAAAACTGAGACTGGAATTTGACAAGAAAACTATGAAACAAGGAAGTCACAGGGATATCTCTCGCATCAACTTAGATGTGACCTTCTAAAAAAAATTCAAGCTGGGCATAATGATACACACCTATAACTCCAGCATTCTGGAGGCCAAGGCAAGAGGACGGCAAGTTTGAAGCCAGCCTGGACTACACAGTCCCAAAATGAAAGGACTGGAGGTGTAGCTGAACGGTCCCTGGGTTCAATCCCCAGTACCACCGTAAAATAGAAAATAAAAGTTCGGAAAGGATACAGTGATACAAAGAAGACAACAGTCACGGCTGCATCACAGGGTTTTTGTTTTCTTGGTTTTGGTTTGAAAGGTAAGATTCTCTTAAAATTAAAAAATTCAGTGGATATAATTGGACACATTAACTGACTGCATAAATGTTACCATATCAATGGATGCAGACAAGCCTTTCAATAAACTAGAGTATCTCTCAGACAAAAAGTAAAAATTCACGGGAATGAAAAGGGGAAAAAAATGAATTCAAATCACTGGCCTATTAAGGGTGGCAAAGGAATTTAACCTGGAGGTGGGAAGATGCCAGGGTCACATGATTACTCTCTTTGAATATTTTAAGGCTATAATGTAAGAAAGGAATTTGTTCTGCCCATCTCTAGGCATAAAATCAAAACCCGTTGATGGAAGCTATAGAAAAATTTTTGGCTCGGTGCGGGAAAGTGCTTGCCAACACAGCTCGACAGACTTAAGTGAGGCCGCACATGGCAGGCCCCTTCCCTACAGCTGTTCCAGTATAAAAGCGACAGTGAGCTCCTCGCTGCCTTTACAACTGCTTCGTCAGTCCAAATATCCAGTTTTTATCTCTTCTATCTGGGATAGCTGTGCTTGTTCTCAACCATGATGTCAAAAGTCACAGTTTGAAATCCAGCTTCACCAAGGTTTTCTTTCCAGTTGTCTATTTTTGGAATCAAAGTTGAGTAACAGAAAATACAAAGTGATGGGTTAAAAGAGAAGAAGAAACAGGAGTCCCAAGAAGACTCATCAGATGGTGCAAATGCAAAAGTGCAGGGCCAGTGGAGCTCTCTCTGCAGGAGTGATCTTAGGGGTAAGAACCTAAAAGGAAGGAAGAGCCAACACTGAGGATAAATAGAAGGAAAAAGCATAGGTAGGGTATAGCTGCCATCGAGTTAGATCCAAGGACAGTAGAGGGTCCTAGATGCCAATGAAACTAGAATACAAAGAACAAGATTCATGAAGCAGATTTAAGGTGAGAAACTCAGTGGAAATTTAAGAACCTGGTCTTCATCAGATGGCAAAGCTTTAAGAATCTAAACCTATCTGAGCAGGTAGCCTGACTTAGTCCTGGGTGGAGAGGCAACTTGCAGAAATCCAAACAGACTATGAGTTCAGATGTCAAGAACGAAGACAGAGGTAGAGATCCAATGGAGCGTAGAGTCGTTATTCAACAGAGACGCAAGGAGCTCATCTATCCCCAGGCTCGGAGGCCAATGTCTGACGCCAGCAAGAGGGAAATCCAGTTGCTGAACCCTAGCTGCCAAAGAAACCAAGTCCAAATGCTGCAAGACTAATTCATGGTCAGAACGTACACAATGAGAAATCTGATTGAAGCTGCAGTACCGAAGCCCAGTCCCTTGTGTGGCGTTGCCCAGGGTGAAGAGTGAGTCCAGAGAGCAGAATGGGACAGCACAGGAATTGGTATGCAACACACCCCTGAGTCACAGGAGTTGGGTCAAGAAGTAGCCGTAATAACTGGGTCCCAGGTTGCCAGGGTGAACTGTCCTTCACAGCTCAAAGGCCTGACAGAAGCAGAATTTGTCACTTCCTCTTCTTGAGCTTCTTGAACATCTAGAGAAATTACCCTCTTGAACATAAAAGATAATGATGGACTCCTCTTTCCAAGCCTTTTTCCCCCAATTTTGCAGGTAGAGAAAGTAGAGCCAGGTGTCTCACTAGCAGCCTTTGGCTTCTTTACCAGTGTCACTGTTTTGTGATCAACCTCCCTGTCTGAAGAAGTGCTCTAATATGCAGCTCACAAGAGGAACTGGAAACTCTTCTACCTGGTCAAGAGTAGCTCAGTGGCTGAAAACAAAACTACCTTTTTAGGGGGAAACATTCCCACCCATTTCTGAAATAGCATGAGCCACTAATTGTTCAAAGCACATTTGTGTCCTAAGTGAATGTTCTAGATGAGCTAGGAGTGGAGAATTAAGGTGCATATTGGCAAGGACTGAATGTTTGCATGTCCCCCATTCATATGCAGAAGCCCTAACCCCCAGCACATGGGTATTTGGAGACAGACCTGTTTTGCTCTAATTATTTCAGACACACAATTTCTCTCCCAAACTGGACGCTAAGCCTCCAAACAGCAGCACACCATCATTGTTTCTTTTTTCCCTTTCCCTCTTGCAGAAAAGGCTGCCAAGGACAGTCAGCAAACGGCTAATTAATTCTTCTTTCCCTTCATGATGCATCCATTCACCTAACTCAGCTTCCACCTCCATTGCAGGAGCCTCACTCTCCACTATTTGTACCCATGGCCTTCTCCCGCTACCTCCTTAGGACAGAAAGTGTTGGGAGATGCAAGGTACAGTGTTTTAGTGGGAAAGTGCATAAGAAGCCCGGGGTCTCTCCCTGAGGTCCCATATAATGTAAGACCCCTAATTCTACTCATAAATCTGCTCTTTTCCACCACAAATGTGTCACGGTGTATTATTCAGTATTCATGTACTTGTGCACATACTGCCTCTTTCACTCACTAGATGGTAAGCAGTCTGAGGGCAAGGAGGGGCGGGGGCTGTCATGTTCCCCTAGTATCCTGAGCACAGCAAGAGACCTGGCCTTTATCAGGGTGCAATGCCCTTGTTAAGTGCGCGGAGTTTCCAGGTAAGTCTTTGTGTTTTTCTTCCTCCAACTTCAAAGCAAAACCAAGCATGCTCTTCTGCTCTTTCAGACGACACAAGATCTACAGGGAACAGATGAACCTTACCTCCCTGGAACCCCCACTGCAGCTCCAATTTGATGCCAGCTGGATCCAGTTCCACCTGGGAATCAATCGCCAGGGGCTGTACTCCCGGTCCAGCCCCGTCGTCAGCAAGCTCCTCCACGACATGAGGCACCTGCCGTCCATCAGTGCTGGTGAGGCTCATGGGATCAGGCAGGATGGACCAACTTCCCCCCAGCGGGGCTGGGTGAGCCCATCTCAGGCCAGATGCCTGGGTTCAGTATCACACGGTTGCCACTGACACATGATAGAGAGGTTAATACAAAGAATGGGGCTGGGGATTTAGCTCAGCGGCAAAGCGCCTGCCTGGCAAGCGCAAGGTCGTGAGTTCGGTTCCCGGTACCGGAGAAAAACCAAAAAAAAAAAAAAAAAAAGAAAACATTTTGCTTGTGAACTTGAATCTCATCAAAACCCCATCATGGAGGCACTAGGACCCTTCAGGAAAGATGATTGCTACTATTTATTGAGTGCTTCTTTTGAAATGGGCCATGTGTTCCCTCGTAAACGGTGACTTTATGGTACGGGCATTATGATTGCAATTTTACAAGTGGGAAAGTGGAGTTTCAGAGAAGTAACATGGTAATCCCAGTACAGGAGATAGGAGTCAGGGATTCAAACACAGGCTTGCTGACCCCAAGTCTGTACTCTCACACTACAACAGTCTCTGTAACGCAGAATCATCGGCAGAGACAATACGAGAGCAGGCCTTTCCTACAGGTATGGCTGGAATGTCCACGCAAGGGACTAGGACATGGGGCTGGGGTGCAGCAGAAGGAAGACTGCAGCCCCTGGGCTGTGGGAGATCCCTTGCCGAATGGCCAAGGCTGAGATCCACAGGTGACATCACAGCCACGCCTGCTGCTGGTCTGCGCTAGAGCCAAGGGCCCCCATGTGGTCGGCTGTGCGTGGGACATGGCTGCAAGTTCTCACGGCCTTCTCTCCCTTTCAGATTACAGTCAGGACGAGAAAGCCCTGCTGGGGGCGTGTGATTGCACCCAGAGTAAGTGCCTCGGCCCCCCATCCATCCAGACCTCGCGCCACACAGCCTCGTGAGCCCCAGGTCCCCTCCAGTGAGGCAGTCACTGAGACCTCATACTTCTGCCCGCCCACCCAAAAAAGAAAAGGCATTGGACAGGAATTCTGTGTAAGATCCTACTGGTCAGAAGGTGCTTCGAGGCAGGCACCATCGGCGACATTCGTCTCCACTGACTTTTCCAAACCAAAATGAAATTTTTAAAATACCCCAAGTTACTGCAGTGTGATTGAACGGGACAGTGGCTTGTGAGGCTGGCAACATATCAGAACCACCTGGAGAGCTTTAAAAAGCGATGTGTCAGCCAGGCATGAAGTGCACGCCTGTAATCCGAGCACTCAGGAGGCTGAGGCAGGAAGATCTTTGCGAGTTCGAGGCCAGCCTGGGCTACAAAGTGAGCTCAAGGCCAACCTGAACTGCATAGCGAGACCCTGTCTCAAAAAAGAAAAAAAAAAAAAAAAAAAAAAAGTGTGTCAAAGGTTAAAAGCTTAGAGTACCCTAGGTCTCCACCTCCAGAGGGTTAGGTTCAGTGACAGAAGGTGAAGCCCAGGAGTCACCATCTTAAAAATGCACCAGCTGATTCTAATGCAGCCAAGGTTGTGAGCCGCCAGAAGCAAGTCATCAACAGAGTCAAAAATCTATATAAAAGCCTGGCCTGCCAGGAATGAACCATATATCTGTAGTCCCAGCTACAGGTGCCTAGGCAGGGTAGTTGCAAGTTGGAGGCTAGCCTGGGTGGCTTACCAAGACCCTGCTTCAAAATGGAATAAAAAAGGAAAAGGAAGGGGCTGGGAATGCAGCTTAGCAATGGAATGCTTGCCCTGGTTGAATAAGGCCCTGGGTTCAATCCCCAGCACCAGCAAAAAATAAATATACAAATCCTGGTTCCAGATGGACTGACACTAAAGCCCCAGGCCAGTCAGACATTTACCTCCACATGCTGAACAGGTATGAAAAATGTCTACATGCGATGTGATGTGGAAGCCTTAGGCTTCCCTGCCCCTGAATTCAGCACCTGCCATTTGCCGTTTTGTAAAACACAGTGAGCACGGTCCTGACCCTTAGGGGGCGCTCAACAGGGCTGGAGAAGCGAAGCCGGATGGGGGTGAAGAGCAGGGGACAAACTGGGGGAAGCAGCACCCGGTCCCTAAGGTGCGCAAATCTGCCAGACTTCACCCCAGCCCGGGTGCAGAGCCATCGATCAGAAGAGAAATGGTTAACCGTGTCTAATCGATCTGCAAGGCTGCCATTGAAACACAAAGAGGAAGGGCTGGGGTCTTAGTAAAACATTCTTTAGGGTTTTTAGGCCTATCTGTTTGGGGCCCCCAAGACTGGCAGAAGAGATACTGAGCCCCTGAACACACCCTCCATGGCCTGAGAGCATGGAGTTCACCCTGCTTTGACAAGCAAATCCGAGTTCTTAGGGCCTGATTAAGTAAGAGCAGAGAGAAGAAATCAGCTGCATTTATGGGGTAACAGAAGCACTGTTAACATCCCCTTCACCTCCCCAGTTGTGAAGCCCAGCGGGGTCCACCTGAAGCTGGTGTTGAGGTTCGCAGACTTCGGGAAGGCCATGTTCAAACCCATGAGGTAAGAGATGCCCTCCGCACTGCCATAGTTAGTGCGGCAGCCCTGGGGAGCTCTGGCCAAAAAGTAACAAACACGGCCCAACGTCCTCAGCCTGGTCACTTGGAGGCGGTGTAAGACATTCTGCACCAAGCACACGGCTTGTTTTTCATAACAATGAGTGAAAACAGAGCTAATCCTTATCCTTCACAGCACCTGTGCCACACACTCTACACCAGCTGTCTTTGGACCATTCCACCCTCATGAGCCAAGTGCTATTTTACTGTCCACGCGGAGGCGAGCACACTGAGGCTCTGAGGGGCCAGCTCTTCCCCATCTCCCAGCTGCAGACAGTGGACTGGAGACCCAGAGCTAGACATGTGCCCTGCTAATTCACACTCTCCCACTGTAATAGATCGCCACTCTTTTCCAGGCATAGAACTCTTTTTTTCGTTTTTTGAGACAGGGACTCGCTCTGTAGTTCAACTGGCCATGAACGCCCTGTGTAGTCCAGGCTGGCCTCAAACTTGCAGTAATCTTCCTGCCTCTGCCTCCCAAGCGCTGGGATTACAGGAGTGTGCCACCACACCCAGAACACTCTCTTTTTGACGTCAGGAAGTTTACAGACCTCTATCTGATCATACTTCTTTTGAAAAATTAGACAATGAACACAGGCTGTGTCAGTTACAGGATACATTAACATTTTATTCATAACAATAACAACTTACATACCTCTGAATGTTGTAGTACACATCCATGAGTGAAATAATATGTATCTAAGTCTACAGATAAAAGCCTGGTGTGTGTGTAATTTTGGGGACTCAAAAGAGTCCGAAAACCCCTACACTCAGGTCTCCGGAAGTAGGCCTCCCTGTCTTAGCCTGTGCCAATGTCCCCCTGGAGACGACATGCATGAGTGAGACAGCCAAAGAGGGTGCCCACTACCCAAGTCACGTGTTCCTCCAAAGTGTTGTCTTCAGGTAAATAATTTTTCGAAGATGTGTATGAAACAACTGAATTTCTGCTTATATTCACTGATTTTTTAAGTCCCATCATATAAAACAACTTACAAATTTAGAAATATCCCCCCCAGGCACGCATTTCACTTGCCAAAAATTTTTACCTCAGTCATCATCATTGCTAGAGTCAAACTTGGAGTCAGTGTTAAACCAATAGGAAAACCCTGCCCCGCTCGCCGCCAACAGCCTGTTTCAACCGGTTCCGTCGGACAGTAAAACCCGCACCAGTCTGTCTCCACCAAAAATCATGACATTAAGAGGAGTTCCATCCTTTGAGAAACAAAACAAGCACTGTGACTATACAAAGACTTTCTCTGAGGGACAGTTCTGAAAGGGATCGCCTCTTAGATTCAGGCAATGAAAATCAATGAAATAATTTATCAGGTTATTTTATTTCTTTTAAAGAGATGAGGTTTTGTTATATTGCCCCCCTGGGCCTGGATCAAGTGATTCTCTTTCCTGCCTCAGCCACCTGAGTTGTGGGTTGTGCATATTCGTGTGTGGTGCTGGGGAATGAACCCAGGACCTTCACACTGAGCTACCTCCCCAGCCACGGCGCCCCGCTGAACAGGAGAGCCACTGGCAAGTTTCTGGCAATGTAGGGTCTTAAATTACTGTCACATTTAGTCACGCACATTTATTGTGTATTCACAAGGGAGCACCAGTTAGGGGCAACACAAGGCCACTGACGTAGGAAGATGAGACGTTCACAAGAAGCATAAATGCCGTGATACATCTGCATATTCACCACAAATCACCAGATCCATAAATTCCACTCTAGAGCAAACTCTAGGTGCATAGAGACGTCTCTAAATTATACTAGCCAGAAGTTAATATGGAGTGGATGAGCACACTTTTACCTTTTGCCTGTCATCCAGGAAAGAGAATCTTACAGTGTTATATTGTATTTACACTGTATTTTGCTACAAACACGACTCTGCAGGGAGCAGCGTAAACCCACCCCCACCGCCCCGCTCAGCAATTACAAACCAATACAAAAATTGTTCCAATTAACCGGCTTCTCCCCACCCCACTGCCACCCCCACCTCCACCCCCAAGTGTAATGCAAAAGCCTCCACCACTTTTTTTTTTTTTTTTTGTCTTTTTGAGACAGGGTCTCGATATGCAATTCAGGCTGGCCTTGAACTCACTTTGTAGCCCAGGCTGGTCTCGAACTCTCAATGATCCTCCTGCCTCAGCCTCCCAAGTGCTGGGATTATACGCGTGCGCCACCACTCCCAGCCTCCACCACTTCTTAATAAGAGCATTTTTTACCTATTCTTATCCTATAACCCAATTTCATCTACAATTTTATTGAGCCCAAATTGAAATATAGTATCATTTTTAAATGTATTTCCCGGCTGGGCATGTAATCCCAGCACTCTGGAGGCTGAGGCAGGAGGATCTTTGCAAGTTCAAAACCAGCCTGTGCTACAAAGTGAGCTCAAGTCCAGCCTGAGCTGCATACCAAAACCCTGTCTCAAAAAGACAGACAAATAAATAAATAAATAGATAGATAGATAGTATCTTTTTTAAAAAACCCTGCAATTTTTTTCTGTGCTTTAAAGTGAAAATTATGTGTCCCCCTATTACCAAGGGGAAGGAGAAATTTATCTTCAGATACTATATGTACATTCTAAGCATAAGGATGCTTTCAAATATGCTGTACAATCCACTGCATAGATGTGTTTCTCACAGGGAGAAGCACTGATGTAAAGTAAAACAGTTTTCAAGTTTAAAAACACTTCTATCCTATCCCACACAATCAAGAAACAACACTTCAGCAGACCGCAAGGGTGTCAAGAGATTATAGTCCTTATGTTTAATTCAGGAATTAAAACGCGATGGGAACAGAATTTGCTGATGCTAAAGGGAAGGGGGTTGGAGCGAGGCGTGGAGGCCATCCGAGACGTGTGTCTGCACCTTCTGAAATTCAATCTCTGCCTTCGGCAGCGCCTTGCGGTGGTTTTCAGGACTAGCTTGTTTTCTTTGCAAAGTGCATATTACTAGTTCAGCTGTGGGTGCTGCTTATACCCTCTGCCATATTGTGTTTATTTACATTGCTTTTGCAGCCTTTGTATAATATAATCCACACTGTGGATTATAAAGTTACTCAAAGATCACCATTCTTCCGTGTTTATTATCAAGACAAAGTCAATAGAGGGGCCGAAAGCCACCCTACGATGCCTTAATGACTAGGGGGCACTTTCCTGAACATGCATACCCAGCCAGCCCATCATACTCGGGCTGGCCAGTGCTTTTCAGGAATGCATGAGTATTTCCAAGTGTACATAAACCAGTATCTTCTACCTCAGCCTCCCTCACCCTCTGGCTGGGCCCACTCTTACCCCTCACTTTAGTTCCTATGAGTTCCTGTGTTTCTCCCAAACTACATGAAGACACAGCAAGTCCCAGTGCAAACCTCAGGCGTGCTCAACCTCACCTCTAGGGTCCTTCCCACTGCCCACTTCCGGCTCACATCCGCCTTTCTTCATTGCTGGGTGTCTAAATCTACAAGGGCTGTGGTTCTGCTACCTAGTCCTCTCTCCTATATGCACGTCTGCAAAAGCAGGTCTGTATTTGTCTCCTGGAAACTGCTGGGTCTTTGAAAGAATCAGCCACGGTCCCCAAAACTGAAGCAGGAACTTCAGTGGTGCTTACTGTGTTGCAGGAAGCCCGATTCTTCCAACTTTGCATCTCTTCCTAGCCCCGGGAGCCATGCGCCACTCCTGATTGGTCATTCTGTGTATACCTGAAAAGCATAAATCCTGTTTCTCTTCCTCGCTGGTCCTGCCTCTCAGCTCTCTTCTCAGGCTCACAGCTGAAGTGTGAGTCCAGGGCGTGACTCCTTCCTTCCTTCCAGACAGCAGCGAGACGAGGAGACGCCCGCTGACTTCTTCTACTTCATTGACTTTCAGAGACACAATGCTGAGATCGCAGCTTTCCATCTGGACAGGTGGGTCCGGCCCCACAGGCCACAGGGTCAACTGTAAGGGCCAGTCCCCCAGGAGGGGGCAGCGGGCAGACCCTCTCAGGTGGAACTTCCTGGCATTTGTTCCTTCTGGCTTTGCATCTCTTCCAAACCTCAGTGTTGTGCCTTCAAACTCTCCCTGCAGCCCCATAGATTAAGAAGCACAAGCTCTTCTAATGTAATGAAATGAACATTTATGAAGAAAATGAACGCTGTCACTACACTCACATTGCTACCTCGGCCGTGACACTGCGCTTGGCTCTATTCTCCTGGTCTGAAAATGAGAAGCCGCCCGGTCCCACCTACCCAAGGAGTCTTAGGCTGACGATAATTAGGTGATACTAACTAGGTGACTCTAACCTCCCTATTTGCTCATTCACTGCTACTCAAAGTGTGGTCTGTGGATTCCTATCACAGGCCCCCATCGAGCACCTTTTAGAAGTGCAGGGTCTCAGCCTTATCCTAAGTCAAAACAAGATCCCCCTGGTGATCCTTCAGCACATTTACCTCTGAGAAGTGTTGACCAAGAACAGTTTGGGCCAGGCGTAGTGGTGCACACCTGTAATCCCAGAACTTAGGACGCTGAGGCAGGAGGATCGCTTCGAGTTCGAGGCCAGCCTGGGCTACAAAGTGAGTTTAAGGCCAGCCTGAACTGCATAGTGAAACCCTGTCTCAAAAAGATTTTAAAAAAAAAAAAAAAAGAGCTTGGATGGTGGGAAGGTCTGCAAAGGAGGCTTGCTGGAATAAGGTTGCCTTCTCTACCACTTTGGACTGGGGTTTGCCCTGGACATGACCAGCTCTGCCCTTGCAAAGAGGCCTTCAGCATCCCCTGCTGGGTACAGCAGGAGCACTAGCCATTTCTACCGTGTGCCAGCCTAGAGACGGGACTTCCTGAGCGGCCTCGTTCTGACACAGCTTTTCTCTTTCAGGATTCTTGACTTCCGACGGGTGCCCCCAACAGTGGGAAGGCTGGTGAACGTCACCAAGGAAATCCTTGAGGTTACCAAGAATGAGATCTTGCAGAGTGTTTTCTTTGTGTCTCCAGGTAGAGTACCAGCCAGAGCCATGCTCTTAGTGTAAGTACACGGGGAGGCAGTGTCCCCGCTGTCACCTTCAGCACCTGCATTATTGGGACAGCAGACGCTGCCATCAGACGCTCCCATCTCGGTCTGTTTGAGCAGAACACAAGGTGAACTCCGGATGGGGACAGGCTGTGTGTGACAGTCCGACTAGCCTGTCTGGGCACTGAACCTACAAGGCTGCCCGCCCCCCACGGTGACAGAATATTCAAATCGTGGATAGGATGCAAAGAAGCCGGGTGCCACATTCTCTGCTCTGAAATAGTGAAAATTGGTACTCAGGACGCTCGGTGTAGTAGCATTCGCTAGTGCTCACATCTGGATAGCGGGATTGCCTTCTGCATTTTCCCAAGCTGGGAGTTCAGGGTTCCCTATCCTAATCCTAAAGAATTTCTTGCGCAGAAAGATGGCATGCCTCGCAGCCATTCCTTGTGTATCTGTTACAGAAAACAGTGCACTGTACGTTCAAAATCTCACTACTTGTCCTCCTGCCTCACTAGACCCTGAAGCCGATGATAGCACCCGCCACCCCAATAATGCATGTGCCAGTGGCAGGAGGTCAGACCACTGGTGAAAGTGACAGTGGGCATCTGCCTCACCATGTGCTCCTCTCCCCTCTCGCCCCCCAGCCAGCAACGTGTGCTTCTTTGCCAAGTGTCCGTATATGTGCAAGACCGAGTACGCTGTCTGCGGCAACCCACACCTGCTGGAGGGCTCCCTGTCTGCCTTCCTGCCGTCGCTCAATCTGGCCCCCAGGCTGTCCGTGCCCAGCCCCTGGATCCGCTCCTACTCGCTGGCAGGAAAGGAGGAGTGAGTTGGCGCCCTGGCCACGCTAATGGGCCTGCGATCTAGTCCTTGAGAAAAGCCATAGCTGGACTATGGGAAGCTGCCTCTGTCTCACTTCGTATTAATGCTGGGACCAGCTGGACTGGATCTGTTCTCTCCTTGTAGTGCATTTATTCAGTTATAAAAGCCCTACTAGGTGCTAGGAGACAGAAGTAAAAAGTACCAGTTCTCTCTTCAGGAAGCTTCCGGGTCCAGTGGGGCAGAAAGACAAACACCCGGGTTAGGAATACACAGGGCCATATTTTCTGTAACAGCGAGGCACACGGGGCTGTGGGAGGAGCGCAGGGCGCCCTGAGCAAGACCTCCGAGGCCAGGGCGAGGCACCCACGATTATCTGACCAGAGTGATCAGGCGCACTGTCCACCTCAACCACAGCGGAGAAACAAGGAAGGAGGTCCTCTGAGGGACACGGCAATCCCTGAAGACTTGGGCGGAGGGGTGCACCGTAGGCAGAGGGACACCTGGGGTGACAGGAAGGATGGCCGTTCGGGCCCCAGGGTAAGAGGAGCGTGAAGGCAGCAGGACGGACACCAAGCGCCGGCCGCCTCAGCCCGCCAGCCTGCCCCGCAGGCCTCAGTCCAGCGCCGAGTGGAGGGCTCGGCACCTCTCGCCACGGGGATGGACTGCTGTCTCCTTTCCCCGTGTCCTTGCCCAGAGGCCTCTCAACGGGCCCAGCTACCCCAGGCAGCCTGAGGCACTGTCACCAGCCCAGGGAGGGGCAGCCAGGCCTCGGGAGGGCCCACAGGCTGCCCTCTCGGCTGCTCAGCCCCGGGCCTTCTTCTCACCCCCAGGTGGGAGGTCAACCCCCTTTACTGCGACACAGTGAAACAGATCTACCCGTACAACAGCGGCACCCGGCTCCTCAACATCATCGATATGGCCATCTTCGACTTCTTGATAGGTAGGGCCCGGCCCGGGGGCACCTGGCACAGGGGACTGCTGTGCGGCTGAGAAGGCCGGGGACTTAGCACCCAGGGACAGCCTGGCTCGGGGGCAGTGAACAAGCTGTGCCTCCCAAGGCCAGGAGCGCAGGCCGAAGCAGAGCGAAGTAAACACACTCCCCCTCTTCAAAGGACTGGGAGGAGCGCAGGGGACTGTCCCTGGTGAGGCAGGCCCACCACCTCCCACAGGCAGGAGTAGATCTCAGGTCACATGTCCGCCTCCCCCAGTGAGGGAGGCCAGGCAGGAAGGTGAGAAGGCGCACAATGAACACAACAGCGGGAGGGCCACAGGCAAGGCGTCCGCCTGGGAGGTCCGTCATTCCGCCTTCCAGCCCACAGGAACCAGGCGCGGCCGGAAAGGGAAACATTATAACCAAAGCGGGCCGGCTCCCACATGCGCAGAGCGGGAGAGAGATGCTCACATAGCCCATGTCCGCCACCTCTCAGGTGAGCGAGGCGGGCAGAAAAGCCGACGTCAGGATGTGCGAGGCACAAAGGCACATTTCTGTGTCGGAATCCCGGGCCAGGGCTAGAGGCAGGGCACAGGGTGGAAGACTTAGACATGCCGGGTGCCGCCAGGTTTACACTCCCTACTCTGGACCGCTGGCAGGCCTCCAGAAGTCAGGAGCTCTGTCCCCATAGCCTACTGGACCGCCCAGCTCTTTCTTCCTTTGCAGGAAATATGGACCGTCACCATTACGAGATGTTTACCAAATTCGGGGACGATGGGTTCCTTCTCCACCTTGACAATGCCCGGGGGTAAGTGGGCGTGCTGGGGTCCCAGCTGCCCCCGCCCCCGCCCCCATACTCCTTCATCGGCTGCTCAGGGGGAACCACGGGCCCCAAGGAGGGTCTGCACTGCTGCGTCCCATCTCGGTCTCGTCCTGCTTTCCCACTTGCTGTTTTTCTCTCATCTCCGCTACACGCCACTGATTCTCGCCCATCCTAAGAGCACCCGCATGCCCTCTCGTGAAACAGGGTGGGGTTTTCTCTGATTTTCTAACGGAGAATACAGCCTGTCCCCGGGGGTGCCCCTCTGTAATCGGGGAGTGAAGGAACTAACCCAGAAGCTTCTGTGACCTGACTAAAGACAAGGTATAGGAGAGGCAGCTACCACGGTCCCTGGGATTTCTGTTCCCAGTCAAAATAAGTTGAAGCAAACACAGAAAGCATGAAGAGAACGAGCACGTTCGTTGTCTGATGGAAACCGTTTCTCCTCGTAGGTTCGGGCGACATTCCCACGACGAGGTCTCCATCCTCGCTCCTCTCTCGCAGTGCTGCATGTAAGTGCTCAGGCCGGGGTGGGCAAGGAGGGCAGGTGAGACCTGGCACGTTTCACTCTGCCTGCATCCACGTGCTGGCATGCAACGGCCTGGGATGTGGGCGGGCAGAATGGCATGAACTGCCTCGTTTCTTACACAACTACCCAAGTTCCCCCAGCAGTATCTCACTTTCCCACTCTTCAGAGTAAAATGCATTAGGATCTAATCTTTTAAAACTTTCAACAGTCAACTTTTATCCACAACCCACTGAGATAATCACCCAACTTTTGCGGAACCTGATGGCACTGACATTACCCATCAGACCTCGCCTTTCCGCAGCACCCGCACGGGCTCATAAAGATTATGTGATCACCGTCTGAGTACAGTCCTGATCAGTCCCCTAAGTCTGAGTCTCACAGGAAGCAGCCACTGACGAGGGCGAGGTAGAACAGCGGAAGGGGGGATTGAAAATGATCAAATATGCACCAGTTCCCCCGAACAAATATAAATACCAGGTGTTACAAACAACAATTTAAAAAAAGCAAAGGCCCTACGGCATTCACCTGACCCCCTCTCCTCTGGGGACACCCAACCTACGTCCACACCTCTCCTAGCAGTTGTGCCAGCCTCATGAAACTGTCCACCTGCCCAGCTTCAGCATCCAGAGCCAATTACAAGTACGTGATTCACACCTAGCCAACCATCGCATTGGCTTCCAGTGGAAAACTCAGAACAGGAATATTCTTAAACAGTCTTAGGTGAATTTAAACCTGTCCCCCTGCCTGCTTCCTTCTACCCTCCTGAGGATAGCTCAGGACAAAAAAAAAGATCAGTTGTACTTGGGTCTAAGTTGGAGTCCTACATAAAAAGCATCAAAATCCTAAAGGCAGTGGTCTCACCTCATTTTCGTCCCTCTGATTTTAGAATGTGACACGAAGAAACAAAGTTAGCAAGGAATGACTTGGAGGCTGACTTTTAAGATAACAGGCGACATCATTTCACTTCCCACTAGCTTCAAATGGCCTTGAAAATCCTACATGTCACTTCTGGCTTGGGCAGGGGTGTTGGCTTTTTGAGTCGGGGGCTCCCTACGTAGTTCAGGCTGGCCTCAAACTCACTATACAGCCCAGGCTGGCCTTGAACTCACTGCAATCCTCCTGCCTCAGCCTCCCGAATGCTGGGATTACAGGGATGTGCCACCACACCTGGCAGTCACTTCAGTTTTATCAATATCAAAGCAAATGCATATGGCCCAGCACCATGGGTGGCATTACGGTTACTAGATGTTAAATGGCTTGGCAGGCTTTCAATCAAAAAGCTACTAGGGAAAAGCCTATCACTTTTATCCATTCCCTTTTTTATTTTGCACGGTCTTCATTAAAACGCGCTTGAGAAGGAAACAGAGATGAAGGACAGCAGTTGCAACAGCTGTTTGTGGGCACAGGGGAAACAGAAGCTAGCGTCCTCGTGTTTACTTGGTTCCTGACTTTTGCCTTTTTAGGATAAAGAAGAAAACACTTCTGCACCTGCAGCTTCTGGCCCAGGCCGACTACAGACTGAGCGACGTGATGCGGGAGTCACTGCTAGGGGACCAGCTCAGCCCTGTGCTCACAGAGCCCCACCTCCTGGCCCTGGACCGAAGACTGCAGATCATCCTCAAGACAGTGCGGCGCTGCATAGAGGTCCGTGGCGGGCAGAGCGTCATAGCCGACGGCCCGGCACAGCCATCAGCCGTGGACCCAGGCCAGGCTAACCCGACAAGCTAAGCACCGGAAGAGCCAAGTTTCAGAACGGATGCTGGAGCCAGGGGTGGGCTGCGGAGCGCAGACCGGCCCTTCACTGCCACCTTACAGCCCCAGAGGCCGGAGCACCAGCTCAGGAAGGAAGCGGGCAGGGCGTGTTCTGAAACAGACGGGATCCACTCAGTTGGCTTTTCAGCCCTGGGTATAAAGGTCCCTGCTCCTACAGTGAACTGCCTCGGCCGCACCTGCCCAGAAGGACGGCTTCCATCACGGCCACAGGCTCTTTTCTGGGAAACCTGGATCCGGCTCAGGCTTGGGAGATCTGCAAGCCCTGTTCCCAGGAGTCTAACGGTCAAATAAAAGGACATCAAGTGAATACCTGACTGTCCTCCGAATCCTTATTGTATCTACAAGTACAGGACAATTCCTGCCCAGACAAAGCTTCCGGAATACCTCAAGCAGACTTACAATCTGCAGATGGCTAACGATCACACTGGTAGCTCAGACTTCACACGTTCTCCTTCCGTGCACATCACTGGCCCAATCTGAGTAAGATAACCTCCACTGACCAGTCCTACAGCAACTGCTCAGAAACACTGCCAGGGAAGGTAGTTACGGGAACTTGCTCAAAATACCAGAAAAGGGGTGTCTGAATCTCAAGAGTATTAACTACCAACTGAACCATCAAGTATGTCAAAAATTAGTAGTTAGTAACACAGGGTAAGTTTTGACAGAGGGAAAACAAGGGGACTTCTCCAGCCAGGACAGCATGGGTGGGGACTATCAGGTATATGAGCTTAGAGCAAAGCAAGAAAAAGACTAGTGCCTACCAGACCCCGAAGCCACAATCCTTTTCCCAGATAGCCCAGAATTGTCATCCCCCTACCCCCAAGAGCTGGGGGCCATCTGCAGAGGTACAGCCAGCCTGCACTTGGTGCTAGCTTAGAAAGGGCTAAATGAAGTCTCCCAACCTTCCCTTGAAGGACAATGGACAGTTCCCATCTCCTTTATCATCTCTCTAGGCTGTCAACATCCAAAACCCGTTTAACAGGAACCTTTGCTTCTTACTAGGAGTGTATTCATTCCATGGAATAGTTAGTCAACAGGTACAAAATACTTTCATCAGTTAAGTTCTTTTCTGATCAGATCAAAGGCTCCAACACTGCCAGTGAGAGGAGAGTAACAAAAAGCTGTCACTAAAGACACAAAGAAGTCAAGAACTGCGAAGTATCACCCGCTAGTACTTCTGTAGAATGTCCGAAGTCAGCTGAACAGGACAAATAACAAGTCCCTCGGACCCATCCGGGTATCCCAACTGGCTAGTACGTTTGCCCCTGAGCCTTGACTCCCCCTAGTAACATCATCATTACCCTCCACATTGAGTCCTTACCATGTTCAGGGAGCTTTACCCGAGTGCAGAATCAACATACACGTTGCCAATCCACCCAAGTACACACACACGTACACACACACACACACACTATCCTACCTCCAATGGCCAAGCAAGACGACTAAGTCTTAAGAGACACTAACAAATCACACATTCTACTAATTTAGACCCATCCCAAAGTGTTTTTTCCACTGTAATACAAAAACCCAACATGATCACACTCAATTTACAACTGAAGTTACGTTTGCTTAAAATGAAAAATAATTACACTACCTCCTTAAAGAATAACCTTAATACGTTCGCAGCAGCTTGAACCACTGGCAGCACACGCACGCACGACGGTCGCGTCGGGCGGCACAGTACCGTCCCACTGGGTGGTACAAGCCGCCCGACGCGACAGTCGTGCATGCACAGTCCAGTCATAAACGTGTTAATCCCAGAGACTTCTTTAGCTAAGGGCGCCCACCTGGAGCTCAGAGCTTCCCCCTTCATTAACTGTCTCTTAGTTCAAGTCATTTTTCTGCCCCGTGGAGGAGCCAGGAAATCACACCCAGAAAAATGGGCAAAAAATATCCTAGCAGACATTCAAAAAAAGGCACAAAGGAGTTTGGGACTTCGAAACCACAGCCTCAGGAAGATAATTACGGCTCCACCTCAAATCCAGCCACCTCTATGACCACAAACTAGCTTTTACACGGCATATATTCTGCAATACTTCACGTAACGGAACTGAATTTGGTAGTCATATTGTCTTCAGTATTGTATTATTACTAACAACAAAATTAAAAGCATCGTTTGTTAAAAATACCGGCAAACATTCCATTTCTGTGAACTATCAAGTTCTTCCCATTTGTTCATTCTGACCGTTGCCCAACTTTTCTTGAAATATATTCTGACTATGTGACAACTCCATGTTATCTGACAGCAAGCAATACAGTTCGGGACGAGTAGAGAACGGGGCTTGGGAATCTGTTGCGGCCTTCTCAACCATCAGGACAATCTGAATCTGAAGACAGTTTTATGCCCTACACCGCTGTCACAGACGCTGAACTGGCAAATACTGAGTCACTGCTCCTAGGAGAGGCTCAGGGTGAGGTCTCTGAGACTCTGGTCTCATTTCTGCCGCCCATCCACACGTAATTCTGCTCTACAGATACTTTATTTTCTATTGCCAATTCCTTAACACGGCACTCGTGGCCAACAGCACTAACTCATGAATGAACCAAGTTTATCTAATGAATACACACTCTCTCCACGTCAGGTACAGCACAGCTTTCGTGCAGGTAGGAACATCTGTCAACACATAATCCCCATACTTGGGGGACTTTTAAACAATAAAATCATCAACAAAAAATACGAAAATAGTAACGCGGCACTAAAAAAGACCAAGGAAATGACAGTTACTCATAGCTGAAATGAAAAGACTGAACGTCCCTTTGGTTCAACCTTGGCTGGGAAAATAGGCACTGCAGACTCTACTGCTCTGCTCAGGTCCCTGGATGACTACAAAAGCGCTCTGAGTACTGGAGGAGCTTGGGGGTTACGGATAAATCCTAGCAAATAGGCCGATCTGCGAATCCAGAAGACGTAGATAAAAGGAACTGATTTAAAATAACAAAGATGACTTTAAAAAGCTCTCCATCTAGTGGCAACTTGCAAAAACACAAAACCACTTGAGCAAAACTGGAATTTTTTCATAAGATAAAAAAATCACATTCCTTAGTGCATTTAGTTTTGTGTAGCCATGTCACAGATCTCAAGTCACGTCAAGAAACAAATTTTAGGGCCGGGGATGTAGCTCAGTGGCACAGCACCTGCCTGGCAAGCACAAGGTCCTGAGTTCGATTCCCCGTACCAAAAAACAAAAGAAATAAATTTTAACTGTATGTTTTAGTACTCAACAATGCGAGTTTCCTCACTAAAACCCTATACCCATAAAAGGCCGAGATTTAATATAACACCTTCTAAGTTCACATAACCATGGCCTTCAATAGCTATTATGACATACATTTGGGGACAGATTAAGTGGTTTATCTACTTACTGTTCCTTCATGTGCTTCTAGCTAAACTAAGAATACACTGGGCCTAACAAAAGCACACAAAGGGTCCACCAATTTGTTGTTGGAGATAAAGTACTATTTTAAAAACAACAACCACCAAAAGCCCTGACATCGTGCTACTTCAATGTTTAAATGTCAACATTTAAAACATTAGACAAACAAAAACAGTGAGACTACATGGGCCACAGTTTTAGAGGGAGAATTAAACTACAATGAAATCAACCCTGATAGACCTTCTTCGTTGCACTGTGTTGTGATTCTCAAGGTTCAACTGCAGCTGGCTGAGGAAGGAGATCACAGAATCTGGACAAGGTGTACAAATGCTGAAACAGCAAAAATTAAAGAACGTTCTTCTGGTACCACTGCTTCTGAAGAAATTAGTATCAATATCCTGAGTACAACTTCATGATTTCACTGCTCAAAAACCTGAATAAGCATTAGAGAAACAAGGCTTTATTCATGCAAAATTTAAAAAGCATTCCTAAGTAGTTAAATGCATATCTTAAATTTAAACCAGTGATATATACTACTCATCTAGAGGTGATGTTTTCCTATTAAATCTGGGAAAGTTCCAAGGCTGCAACACTTATCTACCTTCAACGAAAAGGAAATTCTTGGCTCCTGATTGAGTCTTTCCTTCCATGCCTTAGCAGTTAGGTCTGCACAACTTCAACACCCTTCAAGCAAGGTTACGAGGTCCATTCTCTGACAAGCGGAATGCGAAAGCACTGCAAACAAACATCACCCCTCTTTCAAGCCATGGATCCCACAATTCACTTTCCCTTTTCACTTTTGCCCTCCAGAGTAGCAGCTTTTGGGGGAAGAAGGGAGGAGGAAGATCGAAAGGAGAAAGGGAAGAAAAACTGATGCATTTAAAGAATTTAAATTATTTAATTTTTTATTACTTGACCTACCATTAAGACAATCTATAACAAAAAGAACAGCATATATTAGCACACATAGTATAATCAGACTGGTAACCAGGAAACAATACAAAATGGTCCTCTGGCCATCTATACTTTCTAAAGCAGATCTCATAAACTGACTCACCAAATCCAGAAATAACGACTCCGTAAGCCCTGAATATCCACTAAGACAAATTATGCCAACCATGATTGCTCACATATATACTTAGATTGCACAAATATAAAGCTTTAAATGTAATAACTGTTCAATTTAGTAGGCTTATCTTAAAATGTCTAAGATTAAAAACTACAAAAGAGTACAGCAAGCCAATTGGTTTGAGTAAAACTCATGTAGAAAGCAGTATATGTATCTAAGTACACATGAACATGATTATATACATACATGAAGCTGCAATTTCATGGCGTTCTACCTTAATTCATTTAAGTACATTTTTGGCATTTAAACAAAGATCAAATCAAGCTTTAAGCTGATATGAACATAATTTTTATTTTTGTTTTAAATATAAAAAAGGTAGCCAAACACAAAGATAAGTACAGTTCATGAAAGCCTCATTTAATATAGATTTTGAAAATTAAAAAAATTTAACAAGGTGGCTTTCTAGCCCACACTAAAATGTAAATACAATGTGTCAGGTTTCTATTCCAAGTTAGTAAACAATCTACAAACTTTTCAAACCTATGAAAAAAATCTACCCTGGCCCATTTAAATTGCCTGGGAAAGGATAAGAGGGGGGATTATTAATCAGAACCAGTTGCACACAGGTGGAAAATACTTGCAGTCACTCCCAAATAGAACCCTACATTATATATATATAATATATATATAAATCACAAAGAAAATAAAAGTGCCTACATTATGGAACTGTGAAATTTTGTTTATAAAATAACAATAATAAAAATAAATTGTTGGTATCATTGGAATAATGTAACACATAAGGCTGGAAAATACTGAAATACAGTTAAGACTTAAAACACAAGTTTACTTAAAAAAAGAAAAATCGCCAGAGAAACACAGACTAGACATGAAAGCCGGACTCTCAGCACGATGGCCTTTTAGACCACACACAAACACATCCGACCCACCTCTACCCCACCAAAAATTCTACTTGACATAAAAGAGGAGGGGAAAAAGGTTAATCCTAAGCACAAAAACTCCTTCCCAAATCTCACCCCCCAATGAACTTAGTGGGGGAAAATTTGCCAAAACTAACTTTATCTACCCAGTTCCTCCCTTTAGCAACGTAAGCTCTATTTCTCCGCGTGACTGTTTGTTCCACCTGTATCCACTCAGCAAATCCACTCTCCTGGAATGCGTTTACTCAGCACAGGAGATTACACTGGAGTTAACTGAAGGACATACGTTACCAAAAGCTCTAAAGTAACATCCCAGAATGTAGAGCTCCAATTCTTTTTCTCAATTCAGCATCTCATCATCAGTATTTGGCACTAGCTGGATACAGGTTTAATCAGAGACTGTGGGGCTGAAGATGTAGTTAAACCATAACCCAGTATTTGCAGTCTATGATTTGGATTCACACGTCCAAGGCAGATAGAGACAGCCACACATAAAAACGTTTCAGAATTAGAGAGAAAACATGAATAACAAGACGAACAAATCAGGCAAAAATACCGTGGCAAATGAAAATTCAGGTTGAGGGGGCTGAAACACTCATATCCATCTGATTAATTAGCAAAAATGGGCATTTTCCACCCTTAAACTAGTTTAATTACAAGCATATGTCTTCCTACTACACTAAGATTTTCTATATCCATTTTTCCTAACCCTTGGAGCTTAATGAGAAATTTATTCTATATAGAAGTACAGCATATATGGCCACAGTCTAAATATGCTTATAACCGGAAATTGTATCACAAAACATCTTGCACTGTTTTATCATGACTCTACGGTAACTCACTGGTGCTGGGAACCGCCCTCACCAAAAAGCATGGCACTCACCGCCCAGCTGAACACTAACACTGCACAGAGAAAAGCAGTACCAGCGAAGTCCACAGAACTCTTATATTTATTTGTACGAGCATTTAGTTAATGCTCCAAATTATAAACGGAGCGATAAAAGCAACTTTAAGTAATATAAAGAGACAGAAGCTGCAATGCCAGTGGCCACTGGGCGCTGCAAGTAGGGAAGAGAAAGCAGCTGCAGAGTGAAGCATGGACTAGGGGAGAAGAGGGAGGCACAGGAGGCACGTTTCAGACAGACAGCGACACGAAACTGTTGTACTGTTGGATGTTTCGTTTGAGGATATCTGAGCACGGGCCAAGGACGCGTTCAAAACGAGGTCGGTCCAGCTTAACGCACTTCAAGGGCCCGCGCGAAACCACCGTGGCCGCGCGAGGACGATTCATCAGCAGAGCAATTTCACCTGGAAAGGGCAAAGGAGAACCGTAAGAGCAGGCCACCTCCTCCCACAGAAAACGTCTCCTTAAAAAGTGCACTTCTGACAAAGTAACAAAGGTTTGTTTCCCAAATAACTTAGTGCAGAGGCCACCACAACTGCACACTGGGAAAAAACCCAAAAACCTTCTCACAGCCAGGTGTGGTGGTGCACATCTGTAACCCCAGCACGTCAGGGGCTAAGGCAGGACACAAACTCAGGGCCTGACTACCCTGACAGTCCAAGGCCAGCCCAGGCCACACAAAATCCTGTCTCAATAAACAAACACAAGTACCAACTAATAGATAAGACAATAACTGCAACAACTCAAGCATTAACTGAGTAGGGATCAAACTGAGAGTCAAAAAAACAATTAGAACATAAAATTCAGAAACAAGTATCACATGTTTTCTCTTACATGTGGGATCTAGAGAAAAAAGAGACGGCATGAAAGTAAAAGGGAGACTATGAGAGAAGGGGCCGGGGCAAGAGAAGGTGGACCTCAGGGTCTATGCAAAGCATGGGTACGCAATGACACTGTCACGTAATAAACCCCACTGCTCTGAATAATTAGAATGCACTAATAAAGATAAATGAAATTAAACAACAAAATTATGAAACAGTACAATGCTTACTGAGTGGTAACAAACTACAGTACATATTTAACACGAGGGAACACAACATACCAAAATAATCAGAAGGTCCCAATCTTCCCACTTCGACAAACTCTTCATTTTCTGACCGACGTTGTAGCACAGCAGCTGTGCCCTGTAAGAAAATCACCAAAAAGCTAAACAAATACTTTCTAACCCAGAGTGGCATTTTAAATATCCTGTGCAATTTTAGCTATCTCCCAAAAATGTGGGGGGGGGAATCACTGATTATTTCAACACATCTGTGTTCCTGGGTAAAAGGAACTGCAAGGTCAAGTCACCATATCAACTTCGGTTTCTATTTAACCAGCATCCCTTGCTTGCAAGCTTCTTACCAAGCTAAGGTACCTGTTAGCAAACTGCAGGTGGAGGGCTAAACCCCGTTTTTGTCTGTTTTGTAAGTAACGTTTTATTCTAATGCCACACCTGCTTGTTTATGTTTCTATGGCCGCTTTTGCACTATGACAAAAGTCTCTGAATCTGCTATGCGGATGCACACGGCAGGTAAGATTAGCTGCTACACATCTCCAGGAACTGTATAGATATAAAACATGCGAACTTACAGAATTTATTATCCAGTTTAGACCCAGATTTACCAAATACCCCAAACACCTGCATTTTAACAAGGATGGTGCAGAATCATTAAAGTCCGTCCTGAGTTTTGTGGCTTACACGATAAAGTGCAGTTACCACTCAGTATCTGGCTACTTGTATCTAGCGCCTTCCACACTTACGACTCAAACTCTTTTAAAATAAAGGAGGCTAACAGGAAAACCAAGTAAATGCATTTCAAAGTAAAAGATAATTTATAAATAAAATGTCAGATATTCTCAAAAATTAAAGCTGTAAATCAGAATGAGCCCTTTTCCCACTTAGGGTGTACAGCTTTGCGGAGAGCCACAGGTCAAGTGCCTGACCTCCAATATAATGAAGAACTCATCCCCCGGTTCTCCCTGCACCACAATCTTCTGCCCATCTTCAAACTGGACCGGTTCCAAGGCATCAGCTACTGTCAGGCGTTCCCACTTGTCCAGAGACTCTGAAAGACAATTGAAGGAATTTCTCTACATTACTTGGTGCTAAAAATGTTAAAGTATACGGAGATCTTCCAAATAGCCATTCGCCCTCAATACTCTGGTACCGTCTCAGAGAAAATGCAGCAATGGCACCTGTCCTTACACTCTGCTAGTCTCGCAGAAACCCCAACATTATCTGCAGATGGCTCTCAGATACTTTAGTTGCCAGGTTAATTTATACCAACTGCACCCAGTGGCAAAGGAGTAAGAAAATGTGACCATTAAGTGCTCCTAAAGACTGCCATCAATGCAAACCAAACCTACAGTTACGCCACCCAGAAGTAACACTTCCACCACCCGTATTTTTCAAAAGGTTCAAACAAATAAAAGCCTCAGTTGACTTCATTTATGAAACAAGAACAGCAAAGTAATGTTCATTCCCAAAGGCCAAATTAGAACTGAGACACTAAGCAAATGTGACTATTTTAAAGAGTATGTAAAGGGGCTGGGGATTTAGCTCAGCGGCAAAAGCGCCTGCCTGGCAAGCACAAGGTCGTGAGTTCAGTTCCCGGTACCGGAGAAAAAAAACCAAAAAAATAAATAAATAAATAAAGAGTATGTAAGAAAGGAAAAAAATCGTATCACTGTATCAAAACAATGAACAAAAGACTGCCACTTTATAGAAATTCCCACCCTTCCTTCTAAACTGTAAGTTCAGGGGCTGGGGATTTAGCTCAGCAGCATAGCACCTGCCTGGCAATTGCAAGGTCGTGAGTTTGATTCCCGGTACCAGAAAAAAACCAAAAACCAAAACAAAATAAATAAATAAACTGTAAGTTCTAATGCTTCCCAGTCTGTGTAACAACACACACTAGAGTATCTCCAATTAACTTGCTTTACCATGAATTTCAGCAAGTCTGGGATCTTTGCAGAAGATGCTGATAAATGATACCCAATCTTTCCACAGATGAAAGGCATTCGTGGAAACACTTTCCAGAACCAACGGATTCAATGACAGAACAAGGGATGGAACACGTCCTGGCAGGAATGACTGAATGTCTGCAGTCAGACAAGGAGGACCCTTCCAATCCTTCTTTTTAGGAAGAATGAGCAGCACCTACACTTCCAGAAAGCTTTTCCCAAGTCCAGCTACAGTAGCCAGTCCAACTTTCCATACTGTCAGAAAACATTTCCACATGCCTTTCATGACTATTAGCAAAAACACAAAGCAGTTCACTTTTCAGGAAAGATAACAGGTTCTGCTGAGTATCATTAGCACAGTTCTCCATACAAACCTTCCAACACTCACCTAAAATGGATACTTTACTAAGGAACTCTTCATACATTTTTCGCTTTCTCAGCGTGCTTCCCTATGAATTAAAACACACACACATTATTATACAATGTTGTGAAATAGTAGGTTTCAAATAAACTTTTTAAAAAAATCAAAGCTTGCTGCTGCTTCTGGATTTGTGATCTGATTTGATTTTTGTTTTTTGCTTTTTTTGAGACAGGTTCTCGCTGTGCAGTTCAGCTGGCCTTGAACTCACTATGTAGCCCAAACTGGCCTCAAGCTCATGGCAATTACCCTGCCTCAGCCTCCTAAGTACTGGGATTACAAGCATGTGCCATCACACCAGCTTACTTTTTTCTTTTGGGTCATCATTTTTCTTCATGCTAAAGACAGATGAGCTCCTACTCAACAATACAAAAAAGGTCTTTGTAACTTGCTCCCAAGAAGAAACCAGGCATCTTGGTCAAAGAAGGTACACAGCACCACCAAGCAGTGAAATGCCAAATAAGCAAAATATCAGTTCTTCAAAAATCGTATTCTTCGCATAGCATGTTTCCCCACAACCCCAACCACCCACACAGGGAGATGAACTGCTGCTACTTACAGACTCAAAGAGAAGAGTCCCATTGCCCCAAACACAAGCAAGCTGTCTTACCTACCAAGTGTGTCAAATGCCTCTGAGGGGGAAAGGGGAAATACTTTCCTTTATAATAAAACTTCCTTATATGGGAAAATGCCTTGATGTGCCCCCGCCACCAAAAATATTCATACCTACATACATTATGTACGTGTGTGTACCTGTATATACACTACACACACGCAGTCTACCCTCTGCACCCACAGGTTCTGCATCCACAAATTCAACCAAATGCAGATTAAAAACACTCAGAAAAAAAATGAACATGTACAGTCTTTTTGCCTAACATTACTTGCTAAACAATATAGTATTAACAACTACTTATATATGTTTTACTCTGTATTAGGTATTAGTTAGTAATCCAGAGATGATTTAAAGTATGGGGGAGAAGGAACCCTTCTACACTGTCGGCGGGAAAGTAAACTCTGGAACCGCTATGGAGATCAGTATGGAGACGCCACAAATAAACTAAAACCAGAAATTTCATTTGACTCAGATACTCCCTTCTTAGCTATCCCAAACAAGTTAAAGATATCGTACTACAGTGACTCATGATACCCATGTTTATATGAGCACAATTCATAGTACTTAAATCGTGGAAGCAGCCTATACGTCCATTATCAGGTGAATGGATAAAGAAAAGGTATTAGAATGCAGTGCATTCTACCCTGCTGCAAAGAGAGATAAACTTGAGTCATCTATAGGAAAGTGGATGCACCTTGAGACCACAACGTTAAGTGAAATAAATCAGACATACAAGCATAAATGTCACATGGCTTCTTATATGAGAAACCCGAACTACAAATAAAGCACAAAATAAAAGACCACAGAAAGCAAGAAGAGATCTTTCTCAAATGGGAAGGTGATCCACAGGTGGAGGGTAGGGCAAGGAGGGAGAGGGGATGAGAAAAGGCATGAAGGTGTATGACATACCATGCACCAACCCCACACGAGGCATGTGAACATTATGTCTGCAAACATGTACTAATGAGAAAGACTTTTAAGTATCCAGAGAATGCACGGGTTATATGCAAACACTATACCACTTTATGAAGGGGACTTGAGCATTTGTGGATTTTGGTATGTACATAAGGGATTCAGAAATGAAGGAAGATTTCAAACGATCTATGTATGTATTCCAAATAAAAAAAAAAAATTCCATGTACATCAGACTGCGTATTTTCAAATGCCTAGATGGGCTCAGCAAAAACTTAAGAAAATCATTCAGAAAGGCCGGTATCATTAGGTAAGAGTTAACCATCCCAAACTACTCTTTTAAGTGTATCATGAAGTTCTCAAAAACTCTGACTGTATTAACAGGAATGCCCCAACAGTTTTATCATTTCCCCTAGTAAAAGGGGATATATGAATTACTGACAACCATCTTCAATTTAGAGACGCTAAGTACTTCTGAGTGGCCTTGAATAACTCTATGCACTTAAAAACATCCTGTCAGACAATCTGCGGTGGGTAGGATTAGGTAAATTATCGTGCACCTACAGGCAAATTAATGGATTTTTAAACACAGCCTGACCATTACATATACACCTTTTGTTTCCCATGTTACTTCTGGCCAAATTTTTATTCTAAAACATGACTGCCCCAAGTGGCACAATAAATAATGCTGAACAGGCCCAATGCAAAATACCTAATCATTAAGAATAAGGCATATTGGGCAAAGGAGACCACTGGAGATCGGTCTGCCCTCTGAGGTGGAGGCCCCAGAGCTCAGACCCATGCTACCAGTTACTCCAACAGGAATGAGAGGGCTTGGGGCACGGTCTGCCTTCTCCCTCTGGCCAGACCGTCATCTCCATCGAGGAGCCCTGGGTAATCATGACTATGGAGGAACAAGAAAACAGCCTGTTGCTAGACACAGGTGCAAGTCTCTCGGTCCTTCTTTTCAATCCTGGCCTTCCTTCCAGCCATCATACCTCAGTGAAAGGAGTCACTGGTGAGGAGGTAATACGGTATTTTTGACAACCCTTAGGCTGTAACTACTTCTTAGATCCTTCTTGCATATCTCTGTCTTCCTGAGAAACCACTGTGAAGATACCACCACGTATTACAGCAGCCATTGATATTTTCCTACTAATCTATCCATAACTGTGTAAAGTTTGTAATGTTCCTATCCTATTTCATAAATGGATGTATGTTTATTATTATGTGTTTCCTACAACAACCATTGAGAATAGTTAATGATTTTTCAATAGGTCACTCATGTATAGCTCTATTTATTTTCTTTAGAAGCCATTTTGAAGATACCAAAGTATAGCACAACAACTCTTGATAATCTCCTACCTCTTTTGTCTCTAACGCACTATTATTTGTCTATTTGTTTTCCTGAGAAACTATTTTATAGATAATAATATGTAAAACGATAACCATTGATAATTTCCTACCATTTTGTCTGTAATATGCTAAGTCCCCCCTATTATTATGTTATCCTCGTTTTACTCTTTAAAATTAAAAAAAAAAAAAAAAAAAAGAATAAGGCATATTGGGGCTGGGGATTTAGCTCAGCGGCAAAAGCGCCTGCCTGGCAAGCGCAAGGTCGTGAGTTCGGTTCCCGGTACCGGAGAAAAACCAAAAAAAAAGAATAAGGCATATTGTCATTCCAACGAGGTGGTATTATTCCAACACTATTTACACAGGTCAGAATTAAGGGTCACACTCCAAAAACTCACGCTCCTACCATCAGGATCCTCCTGTAGCTGTCTCGGTCGATGCCCCACAGCTTCACGTTGGTCTTCGCTTTGACGGTGGCTGCTCTAGGTGTCCCATAGATCAGCGCCAGCTCTCCAAAGCTCCCTCCTTCCCCAACACTGGTTGCCCACTCGCTGTTCACGTATACCTAGAATGCAGATGACATCAAAGCAGGGTTTTTCTCCACGTATATACAAGAGCATGCCAGAAATTCTCAAACCTCTTTGAAAGATCAGAGTCCTTAACTTGTGTTTTAAAAACCAGTATACACTATGTTTTCAGAAAATAGCAAAGCAGAACAGCTGGCATTCCGACAATGACCTAGATGTGCTGCTCTCTGGTAGGAGAAAGGTGCTCCTCAGAAACGGTGAAGGGAAGGTCAGCCAGCAGCAACGCTAGTAACACACGGGGCGTACTCACTGCGCCGAGCACTGTACCAAGCGTTCCACTTGCATTAGGTCACTGGATTTTCTAATAATCCTGCATCAGTGCTACTTTTGTCCTCATTTCATTTGGTAAACGGGACTCACAGAAGAAAGCTGCATTAAGTTTCACAGCTAATGGCCAGGTGTGGACACTGCTTTACTGTATTTTGATCTCACTTTTCAGCACATATACACTTTACTACTCCGGCAACAGTTGTAGCTAGAGAAGTTACCTTTAAAAGGTTTCCGTGTCATAAAAACACTCGGCAAAAGGTGCTGATGAGACCTGACAGAAAAGAGCTGTAACAGCCCTTCAGGAACACATTGCTTATTGCCTAGATGCAATTAAAGTCAAAACACTGACTTTCAAGATTAAAAAAATTTGTTATAATTAAATCTTACATCCATTTCTCCTTGATCAATCACATAGAAGTTATCCCCTTCGTCACCTAAGAGTAAAAAAGATTAAAAAAAAAAGATCAAATTAATATAAAACAAACTCACAGTAGTACTTTGGTAGAAGAGCACAAAAAAATAATTTTTAAGAAAAAAAAATCCAGCAATGTATTTTAAAAGGCTCAAGACTGATCAATTTTATTTTCAGTAATCTCATGTAAAGAACACCTACAAAAACCAAGTGACATACACAAAGTTATTCACTACTATACCCTCTATAACAATATAAGAAATAATTCAAATAGTAGTAAAATATCAGACTGCCACAAAAGGTAAAAATATGTGGTTTATGAAGACCCATGAAAATCTCAAGAATAAGAAAAAAAGAAGATATGGAAAAGGTTACATTCATGTCAATCTATGTAGCAATTTAAGGTAAGAATCTGTAGGAGATGTACAACCTTACAAATACATGGCCTACATAATAACCTTTATTACATAATCTTTATTTTAAAAGTACTTAATAACCTATATAAAGAACATATGAGATCTATATTGTTGAAATTCCGTGATATTCAACTTAAAAATAGGCATTTATTTTCACGATTATAAACACTATTGCATCAGAAGTACTAATGCCTTAATGAACATATTTTTAGTGCCAAGAATTTTTAATTAAAAAAATAAGAAAACCCAATAGAATTGACAGGAGGAAAGTGGAGGGATCTAACAGGAAAACAAACTCCAATAAAAGAAAACCAAAACAATCAACCCGCCAGCCTCCCTGCTCTTCCACAACGGTACTATGTGTCACAGAGACAGCAGCCCTTACCTTGCTGAATAACTGTCTCTCCGGCAATAAAGGAGACTGGAAACATGGCATCAAAAATATCACTGCAAGAGACACAGGGCCCAAGTGTTAAATTTCAGAAGTCTCTTCTATGGAATTCCAATAGTAATCCAGAATGAAAGCCCCCAGATTTTCAGCTCAACTGTCATTTGGTGACAACTAAGAGCCTTAAAACGTGCAATAATGCCGACAACAGTTTGGGACTACACTCTAACTGCAAAAAAGAAAAAAACCTGTTCTTACCTTCTTTCGTTATCATCAAGGTGTGAAAACAGCACATTTTTTTCAATGGCTTTGGCTAAAGCAGCCATTGTCTTATAATCTTTTGGTATAACCTAGAAGAGAATTGAAGGTCAAATGACATTTCCATACAGCAAAAACATTTCATGTTTGCAATCTGCATTTCAATTAAATGTCAGGCTACATTATGGTATTTAGTAGGACTGTTCTGAGTTAAATATTTTCACTGCAACCCACTTAGATGATCTCTGACTCACAAAGTACCCAACAAGCATTGACTAACCAATCCCTTTGCCTAAAACCAGGTCTGTATCAGTATTTGGTTCCCAGTTACAACTAAATAAACATCTGAGCAGCATCATTATTCTGAGGCAAAACTGTATTGTTTCAATTTGGACTTTGTAGTACTGAAGACCAGGACCTTTGTACTGAGCTATACCAAAGTCCTTTTTATTTTCTTTAGGGCGTAACACTGGGTTACAAAAACCCAGCCCACACTTCTCTACTATAAATTTGTACTTCAGCATAACTGTAGCCAGCTCTGGTCTCAGTAGCTATGCCTGGGGAATACAGGAAGCAATCTCTGTGTTTATCCACTCCCACACATGTAACACTCCATATATGAAATCAGGGGCTAAAATATACTCACACCAGTCTTCTATGAAAACATGTATTTTATCATAACGGAATGTGGGTGTGACTCACAGCTGTGCTTGGGGAAAGCTAAACCCAACTGTATATTCACCTTCGCAAACAAATGGCAAGGTATATACAGGACATCTGAAGCAGCAACAGTTTTTACCCATGAAGTGCCGCTCACTGCTAAATTTCTGTGCGTTTAGGATCCGTTTTTAAAGAAAATTTTCTTTTGATTTTTCTGGTAGAAGTACCACAATTCAGTACCATGACACATGAAAAACCAGATCTGCAAGTTTTGGAGGAGGCTGATACTGAATTATCAGATTACTCATGCATGGGTGACGAAGACGATAATGACTTCAACGTTGACCATGTGAGCCAAAGTCCCTGTGACAGTGAAATGGAGCAAGAATCAACCGTGACAGACCCAGGGAATCCAGACCTCCTTGATTCACAAAGAAAACAGCAATGTGAGTATATATTTGACTAGTCGAAATGGTACAAAATGGTCACGTAACCAAATGGAACAACTCAACATTAGAATTGGGTCCAAAAATACAGTGAGGATCTTGGCCGGAGTGAAACCTACTGGATGAAACGCCAGCACTAACACTCAATACTGGAAATTATTATTTAATAGATGAAATGCTACAAGATGTTGTGAAATACACAAATGAAGAAATACAAGTAAAACATTCTCTATGCACAAATAGCCATACTCAAAAATGGATTTATTATGACACCTCACTAGCTGAACTGAAAGCATTTATAGGTTTGATGTACTCAGCAGGGATTTCTCATGGTCAGTGCAGGAATGTAAGACTTATGGAAAAGCAATGGGTGTGGGCCTGTGGTTTGTAGAGTAACAATGACACTGAGATTTGGTTTCCTTCAGAATTGCCTGAGGTTTGATGACCATACCACCTATCAAGAAAGAAAAAGGACTGACAATTTGGCTGCTATCCACTCACTGTTTGAGAGACTGTTAAGCCACTTACATACCATCTGTATACATGATTACTGAAGAACATCTTGCAGCATTTCATGGTCGCTACAGCTTCAGGTAGCATGTGCCAAAAAAAACTTCAAAATATGGCATAAAAATTTATGTCCTTGTACACGTGAAGATTTATGCTTTCAATTTAGAACTTTATCCTGGAACTCAGTCACCAGGTCCTTATTCATACAGTCATAAACCAAATGATGCTGCTAACAGACTTGTTGCTCCTACAAACTAGTCAGAATGTGACATCTGATAATTCATTTACCAGTTTCCAACTGATGCTGCACTTGCTAACAGAGCACAAGTTGACCAGTGTAGGAACTGTACGCAGGAATAAAGCACAAATTCCAAATAAAATGCTGCAATTTCAAAACAGAAAATTGTACAGTATCATCTTTGGATTTCAGAAAGATTTACACTGGCCTCATCTATGGCAAAGAATAACAAACTGGTACTGTTGATGTGAACATTGCACCATGATGGAAATACTGATAGGGAAACCTTGACAAACTGCAAGCATGAGATGGTAACGTTCTACAACAAAACCAAAGAAGGTGTTTTTGAAGAATTATGCAGTCACTCCAAACACAAAGCGTTGGCCAATGGTTGTACTTTACTCGATCCTAAACGTGTGGCATAAATACTGTGCCAGTTTACAAAGAAAATAACGAGTACAAAACACCACAGAGAAGTTTTCTTAGAGGACTGGGACTGGTCCTCATAGGAGATTATTTATAGCAGAGGAAAAACAAAGTGTTTCTGCCCAAGGAAAAAAATTGTGGAGCACATGGTGAGCCGACAGGTGAACAGGCAGGGCAGTACCACAAAGTACTACTATGACAACGAGACAAAAAAGCTGCCAACTGTGCCCTACAAAAAAGGACAGGAAAACAAAACATACGTGGCATCAGGGGCAATACTTGTGTATGGAACATGCAGTTTCAAGGGTGCAGACAGCCTTGGGTGTGTCCGCTGAAACACAGATTATTTCTGTTACAGAGTTCTACTGGTATTTTCACTGTAGTTCATACAGGAATTTATTTCTAAAGATGTCTTTTAGGTTTTGTAAGTAAGTGCACAGCTGATGTGAACATGCTCATGTTTATTCTAACCATGCAACACATATTAAGAATTTAGTACTTATTTCATTGGTATTTTATGTTCCATTAACTACACATTGTGTAATATAATAAGAATCCTCTCAGAAAACACCAAGACCAGCAAATCAAATATGCCCCACAAAAAGGCCAGGAAAACAAAACGCATGTGCTGGCAGAGGAAGCAGTACATGTGCATAGAACATGCGGCTATCATGTGCGCAGACTGCTTTAGGTGTGATAACTGAAGTGAAGATTTTTTTTGTACACTTCTATTGGTATTTTCATTGTGGCTCATAGAGGAAATTTCTTTTTGTTGTTACTTTTGAGACTCTGTACACCAAAACAGTGTTGAAAATTTTGACGTTTTATAAAGAATATTAAAAATTGAACTTTAAAATTTTTTTCCTATTAAGTACTTGTTGTTTAATATAATAAAGCTCATAAAATTGAAGTTAATAATTCATTAATAGAAATACTCTAAAGAATAAATGTGGGTATTATACACCACAGAGCCCCTTTCTGACAAAATTTGGGTTACGCTGCACTTAAAACGGTCTCACTAGCCCAGGCTGGTCTCAAACTCGCAATCCTCCTGCCACAGCCTCCCAGTGTGGTGGGGTGAAAGGCAAGTGCCATCACACGCAGCTAAAGCTAAGTATTTTTTAAACTGCTATCTTTTGGTATTGTTCGCTTTAGAAGGCCCAAGGGCTGCAAACTGTGACCCCCACGGGCCTGCCAAGGCTATTAGCGTAACTCAGAATGGCCAGCTGACTCTGAAAATAACAGATTAGGATGAATGAAGACCGTACGACAAAAGGTTAAAAGTCACACGTGAATTAACGTACAGAGTACATCAAACAGCTGACACCAGAATGTAAGAAAAATGAGTAATGCCTGCTTCTTCAAACACAAAACAGCAGGAAATGATGAACTCCCAAAATGTATCCATGTACTGCACTGGTTTATAATCACTATTAGTTATTTCCTCTGCTATCCTGCTGTTACAGAAATCTATCTTCCAGTGTGCAATAACTACTTTTATCTTTATTTGAAGGAGTACACACACTCATCAAAGGAGCCTAGCTTGTCAAGTGGATCCCCAAACATTTCTCCGGTGTTTAGACATCAAAACTACCTTTCTAACATACGACGCAGCATCTTCCTCCGTGTAGACTTCCGCACTGATAGCACCACGTCGCCGGCGACCCTTCACCACTGGGTTGGGAGGGGGAGGAGAGATTTCATCCTCTCTGGAGTCTGTACGGGTACCTGCTTTCTGCAGATTCTGAATCTGCTTTGCCTCCTCCTGAAAGAAATTACAAGAACGGAAAGTAAGATGCCTCAGCATCAGTGTGTGAAGCGGGTATTCTTGGATTCCAATGACAGTCCATCACAAAGCACTTCAAGTCTCTAGAGGCATCTAGTGCCAATGTAAGGAGAAAATGCCAATTCCAAATGGAAACAAAACAGAGATGTAACTTTGAAAAGAGATTCTTGCATGGGACTATTTATTAGGTAACAAAAGTCATTAGCCTAAGAACAGACCATGAACAAATTCGATGTTCATTTTAAGAATGCATTGGCAGCAATGATTTATGATGCAAACACCAACTGGGAAATTAGGGTTTTATACTATAAAACAAAATCCTGGGAATTAGGTTTATTTTTGTAAAAGGTAACCCATTCGCCCCTCTAAAAAAGCACATAATCCAAGAATAATAACTCAAGCAAAGTAATGCAAGAATGTCTAGATTATTGAATTATTTCATTAATTCAATAAGCATTTTCTGGATTTGCTACATCACAACCTACACCAGGCAATGGGAATAGAAACACAAATAGGGAAAGAGAAGGTCCAGAGCCTACAGAATTCACATTCCAGCCTACGTCACAGATATACACAAATACTAACGTAAAGACAACCAAGAATAAGAACTGGTTTAGCAATGTTCCCCAAGCAAAGCCGGATGCATTCTTTATTATCTGAGTTCACATTTAAAGTCAGAGTAACCTGCTTTTAAAAACTGCTCCTAGTTAATGTCTAAGTGTATGATCAATCTTACATGTCTGTATTTGTTTATCTGAGTTTCCAAACTGAGGATATCACTATGTAATACAACAACCATTGTTAATTTCCTATCACCTTGTCTGAGATTCTATATTGCTTCTACTGTTTTTGTGTTATTTTCTGAATGTATGTGTGTTTGTTAAGATGTTTTCATTCTTTTATCTTTAAAAAAAACTGTTCCTTATTGAACCATTTCAATATAAAAACTAAGATCAACTATTAAACATTCTTTTTTTCAAGTCTAAAGCCTTAAAAAGAAATTCCTCTCAGTAAAGAAGAAGTTATTAAGCCTGAAATAAAAAGGAAAAAATAGTGTAGACTGGTACAACCACTGTGGAAATCAGTATGGAGATTCCTCAAAAAACTGGGATTAGAGGTCCATTCAACCCAGGTAATCCCCTTTTGGATATTTTTCCAGGAGAACTGAAAACATCATACTACAGCAATGTATATGCACCCACGTTTATAGCCGTGCAATTCGTCATAGCTAAGTCGTGGAAACAACCCAAATGCCCATCAACTGAGGAACGGATAAAAAAGATGTGGTATTTTTATAACAATGGAGTATTACTCAGTTATAAAGAAAGATAAACTCAAGGCTTTTATAGATTAATGGGTGCAACTAGAGACCATACTCATAAGTGAAATAAATCAGACTCATATGTGTAAACATCGTATTGTCTCCCTAATGTACAAAACTGAAAAAGTAAATAAAATCTCAAAGGTGTAATAGATACTGTGAAAGGGAAAGAAACGGCTCGAAAGGAAAGAACAACTGGGATGGGGGAAAGGAGAAAAGAGGAAAAAAACATATATATATACACACACACACAATAGCTAAGTTAACTGTACTACTAATTTCTATTGGTTTAATTTTTTTGATCAATTTTGCATGCCTATATCTGGTAATCTGAACAACTACTATGAAGACAACATGCAATGTAACAACCACTGCTGATTTCCTATCATCTTGTTTTCAAATTTTGTATTTTTTCAATGTTTTTTAAAGGTTTTTATTCTCTTCAAAATAAAATAGGAAAAAATAACACGTATCTTCTACTTTTTCATTCTCTTGCCCCACTATCCATTATTTTTCTAAACCATGTTTAAAATTCTGAATGAACTCAGCATTTAAAATGAGTAGAAAAAACTGGGGTAAGAATCTGAGATTCTTTGGGGGGTGGGGCTTTTTTGTGGTACTGGGATTTGAACTCACGGCCTTCACACTGACCTATATCCCCGTCATTTTTTTAAAAGTTTTATTTCAAGACAGGGCCCCTAAGCTGCCCAGACTGGGCTGGAACTTGCCATCCTTCTGCTTCAGCCTCCCATGGGCATCATCACATCCAGCCCCACTGGCATCAAGATAAACACGCTACTTGTACTGTATGTATCCAGCAAGCTTGGCATGACAGCCGTCAGTGGTCTGAGCAGTGCTCACTGTCATTAGCAGAATCACGCCTGCTTTCTTCTTTGTTCAGAGAGGGGCTGTGCTTATTTCTCTCCTCCTCACTCCTTTGCCATGCTCGAGTTAAATCCAGGGCATCTGCACATTCCGTCCTGAGTACCCTTTCTTTTTTTAAAATTTTGTTAAATGCCCCAGCTGGGCTCAGAACTTGGGATCCTCCAGCCTCAGCATCCCAGAGTGCTGGGATTGCTGGTGTGCACCACCACACCCAGCTCAATTATGAAAATACACAATGAAGAAAACACACAACAAAAATAACTTTAATCAACTTGTATATGTCTAACTGCAACTTATATATTACTTTCCCCTTGTCTCTTGTGGTACTGGGGATTGAACACAGGTCTTCGTACTAAAGTGTATCCCCAAAACCTTTTTATTTTTTATTTTGACATATGGTCTAAGTTAATAAAATGCCAAGCCTAGGCTCAAACTTGCAATCCTCCTGCCTCAGCCTCCCAGGGATTATAGGAATGTATCATGCCCACTTTGTATTTACTTCTTGACTCAATAGTAATTCTACTTCCAGAAATTTATTCTAACATATGCACATATATAAAATACAGACGCAAAAATATTTGTTCTTATGAGTGAAACATTAGAAGCAACCAAACTGTGATCAGTAGGAATAACTAAATATAGTATAGCCATGCAATGGAAGGTCATGCATGTGTTAGAAAAAACAGGAAACTTTTTTTATATATCAATTTATCTGTAAATGCCCACGTAATATCCCACAATCATAGCTTCTTCCAACAAAGGCAATTAGGTGGAAGGAAACCCTTTATGGTTACACCTTCTTGTACCTGCAGAATTCTGCATCATATATAAATACACAACTTATATACAAACATTTTTTAGAAAACCATTTCATGCCCAGCGTGGTAGCGCACGCCTGTAATACCAGCACTTGGGAGGCTGAGGCAGGAAGATTGTTGTGAGTTCGAGACCAGCCTGGGCTACAAAGTGAGCTCAAGGCCAGGCTGAACTGCACCGTGAGACCCTGTCTCAAAAAGACAAAAAAAAAGAAAAAGAAAACCACTTCATTTTCATCCTAGTAGTTCCAGTCACTAGTTACATTTTCCTACTCCTTATTAAAACAGAACTGCAACACTCAAGTCTCCTCCAAGTTTAAAGAATACAAAAAACACATGAATTCTACCCTTCAAGTCTGTTGCTAGCATTTCACAAAAATTCCATGAAAAAAAATTCACAAGTCTCACTTGGAACTGTATTTTACTTAACTGACTTCCTGAACATTCTGAAGCAGCAGAAGCATTTTTATGTTAACGTTGTTTCCTAAACCATGAGTCAGTGTGAATACACCCTCATGGTGATGACACAGCCATCTCCCAGATGGATCATCCACTTCTAGTACCTTCTCTCATACCCTTACTCTTGCTGCTGTTACTCAGCTGTCAGTCTCCCTCTTCAGCTTTCACTTACTAAAACAAAAACCTGCAATCCGCTTACTGGTTAATAACATTCTCCACTCTTCTGCATTATGTTCTCAACCCTGAAATTCAAATTCTGTCCCCACCACTTGCTTATGTTCACCCAAGTATTTTTTTTCCTCCTTGCCCTTGCCTTTTTTTGTAGGTGGGGTAAACTCCTACCCCACTGCCTTGAGGCTAGGCCACGGGACTAGTTCTGGCCACAGGAAGTAAGTGGGCCTGCCACAGCCTTAGTGCCAGTGTGGTTTGGCTCTTCCCTCCCCACCCGACCTGAGCTTCTGTCCTGCTCCTGCCTTGAAAACAGCATGCCCTACAGAGTGGCTGTTCCTTCGAGTCAACCCCAGATCACGACGCATGGAATGAAGACAGCGGAATGGCCTGAGCCCAGAAAGCTGCATATGACCAAGAAACAACAGTCTGGTGACCAAGAAATAAGCCACTGAAACTTGGAGGTTATACGATACTACGGCAATAGCTGACTTACTACACTGTATAACCACAGCCAAGTTACTTCATTTCTTTTGGCTCTACCTACTGCCTCCGTACAATGGTGATAATCACCTACCTCACACTTCTGAACTAAGTCTGCATGCATGTCAAGAACTTCACACAGCACCTGGCACACAGGAGACACTCAGAGGTGGCAGTTATTATCAATCCTCTTATCTACCAGACACGTGAGACTCTAATAAATACATGCATAAATGAGCACTCCAACTCCAGACAACGGCCTGAATTAAAGTGCAGCAGCTTCCAACAGACAAAGTGAGTTTTACGTGCATAGCTTCTGGAGTAAAGGATCCGGCAAGCTAGTAATCCTCGAGTAATGGGGAAGAGGTGATGAGAATGACACAATACTCAGACACAGTAAACAACTGTCTGTTAAAAAACTAAAATCTAGTTATATGAAAGTCTCAGTACATATGCTCAACCTTAGCTAAAGGAATGTACACGAAAAGTACATTAAGCTGTAACTTCTATTAAAGAGGCTTTTTAAAAAGGCCAATACACATCAAATCTAAAAATCCCATCTACAAAGAAACTACCCTAATGATCATTTTTGCTTTCCCCCTTGGTTAATCCTTGAACAGTCCTGCGGTAAACACGGGCTTTGAAACAAGCACCACACATTCAACACTCCCTATAAAAAGACACACACTTAACGTCTCACCAACTTAATCCCCTCATTTGATGATTTCTATTGATGTCCAAAGACGGATCACCTTACAGTGACCTATTTCAGAACCAGATCTCCAGGAACGCGCTTGATTTCAAAACAGGGAATACTTGTGGCCTTGTGCTACAGTACTTCCACTATTTACAAACTGATTAAATAAAAGAAAGCCAGAATTCTGACTACCATTCCAATGCACCAAGTAGATATTCATAGGGACTGGTCAGTAGTATCTTCTTTTTGTCATTTTCTATTACTCTAGACATGCTATTAAATACCAATTATAACAGTTTTCAGGGAAACAGAAAATACCTGCTTACCAATCTAGCAAACTATTTTTAAACCTAGTATACAGATTCAATTACTGTAAATTAGCTGGTAAGAAACTGCTCAAATACCTATTTCTATTATAAAGCTAGATAATTAATGATCACATATCAAGGAAGTATCTCCCAACTACCCATGATTATATTTACTGTGCTGATTTACAAAAGCAAATCAAATCCTCGAAACATTTCATGATCCAGACCCTTTAATTCATCATTTCTGAGATAAGCAAAATGAATCACTGTTCCTGAAGCAAAATTTTTATTCTCCTTAAAATTAGAGATCACACATACAATGATGAAAAACAGGAGAAATAAGCCCTAACTAAAGCTACAGGATAAAATTTTGACAACCATCAATCTTCTCTAGAGTGACCTCATCTAGATACACTCTACGGTCTATAGTAAAGCAAGACTTCACTAATTGAGAATTTCTGTTTTTTATTTTCAAGAGAATAAAAACATTTTTTAAAAACATTAAAAATGATACAGAACTTCTAAACAAGATGATAGGAAATCAACAATGGTTGTTATACTACATATTATTATCTTCAAAGCAGTTGTTCCGATCACCAGACATAGGCATACAAAACTGATCAAAAAAAAATTAAGCCTTATTGTTCCTTTCAATAAACCAATAGAAATTAGTAGTACAACTATCTTAGCTAAAGTGAAATAAATCAGACCCACATGTGTAAACATCATATTGTCTCCCCAGTATAAGAAACAAAGAATTTCTGACACATCAGTCACAAGCTAGAATCAACTATTTAACGATACAGTTTTAAAAGGTAAAATAAGGTTTAAGTTTGCTTGCTTTGTTCAAGAGAAGCAATAACTACTACTTCTGCACTACTTCTGATCAGTTTTACCTGTTATAATTAATTTTATGCACTAATTAAAACAGTTGAACATACCTGGAAACCCTTTACCAGCCAAAATAAACTTAGCAAATGGGTACATTTTCTGATAAACTCTACTGGTGCAGAATTTTAAAATCACTACAAATACCTTCACTACACTGCGTGGGGGGCAGGGTCTTGCCATGTAGTTCAGGATGGCCTCAAACACAGCAATCCTCCTGCCTCAGCCTCCCCAGTGTTGGGACTACAGCCATCAGCCACCACACCTGGCTTAACTGTATTTCTTATTTGATTTTTTTTCCCGAACTTCTTTAGTCAGAAATCTTTTGCCTTCAAAAGGTACAAATTAGCAACATTCCAAAATATTAATTCTAACCACTGTCAGGGTCATCACATCATCTCCCCACATTTACTTTTACCTTCTCCAACCTCTCGAAGTACTCCCTCAGGAATGCCATGGGTCTCTCAGGTCGGGCAGTGCACAACTGCACAATAGAATCCTTAAGCAGGGCCTGGATGTTGTGCTTCTGGACGTAGAGTTCGCATTCCCGGAGACTGCGCTCCTCCTCACTGGCGGCAGTACTACCAGACGCCATGGTTCTCTGCAGGAAAAAGAACACATATGCATGTGTAAAAACCACCTGTAAGGCACAAACACCAATTTGGCCTTTTGACTTACTAAATTTATTAGGCAACTGACTCATTGAAATTTTTTCCTTGCTAAATGGGTTAGGCACCGTGGTAAAGCAAAACCTGCATTCTTCCACGTTAAGTGTTTCATTTAGCTCCTATGTAGGCGCTAGGCTCCCTAGGCAACTGAGAGGCAGTACCTTCAGTATGAGCCATCACCCCTGCAGAAGCAGGCTGCTGAGGAGTCAGGCCCTTAAGGGAATTTCACTCAGTTCTCTCTTGCAAAAGAAATCGTGATGACGCGGGCAATGTGTAAATGGTAAACAGGACGGAGAATTACCAGGGCACACAAGTCAGCGCTAAGTGAAAGGAAGGCAGCACAAGGAAAAACATCTGACGCTTCCCTTAGAAGCACCTATCCCCTGGGCACGGCCCAACGTCACACCACAAATCACCAGCAAAGGAACGGATTGGCCAGCTATTGGCTGGTATTAGCGAACATTTTTTAAACCCAAAACTTCACACGAGTTTTAAAAGCAAACTTTTATTCTGAGATCTCTTACCAGAGTCTAGCTCTAAGTGACTCTCCATTTACCAGTGATGAGAGAAGAAAAATCCTACTGGGGGAAGTAAACGTCTTAAAAAATCTTTACCAAGAAAACTGTCAAAACATCTTCATCTGGACAGGAAAAATTAAAACACGTTTCAAGCCTACATAATCAATCAACAAACTACATTTAATGGAATATAAAACTATCTTGAAATGAAGCAAATAAAAATATAATAACGAGCAGCTAACCTTATCCCAGAATTAAAAACTTATTTAACCAGGCCACTCATAGATTATTTTCTTTCCAACTTCTAATTACTGAGTAATTAAGATTAATATTAGCAGTGTTCCCCTCCACTCTGGAACTAAATACAATACATAACAGCTTTGTTTATATTATGGTATGCACAAAACAGATAAAATATTCAAGAAATAAGTACCAAAATAAAGAGCTTCTCTAAATGCTGCACTATTACTTTATTTTGACACTTTCACGATAAATATAATAGCAAGCAGGCTAGTTAACAGACCATGAAAAAGTCCATGGCTCCATGACAAGCACATAAATTAGAAGCCACGGAAAAAAAATCATGCTGCTACTTCAGAAATAAACACTTGAAAGTTTATATACCTCAGATCTGCATCAGTTACTTTTCTAGAACAGGTAATCACGAAACGCAAAACCACTTCAGTAGAATTTTCTGCATTTCAAATAATTCTGAAAGCCACCAAGAACAAAACGATAAACTTGATTTTTTTTTAATACTTCAGGCACATCAATACATGCACTCAACTGATGAGAGACATTCTATGATCAGATCTCTGGCAATGATGTGTGTGTCTAAGAGATGAAAATATTTTTCTGTTTGAAACAAAACTACTGCATTACAAAATCCAAAAACACGACACTGATAACGAACCACCAACAAAATATGCTCCGAGACCAGTGCAGTTATCGCGTGAACGAACCCCTGAATGACCACATTTCACGGTCTTAATATTTGTAACGAAAAATACCTAGACTGACTCTCTTTGTACTTATTTGTACGAGCCCAACAACGTCCTCCTCCCCCCTCGAAAAGAATTTAGCTAATTTAAAATCGTCAGTGCAATTGAAAAAAGCGAAAGAAAAAAACTGTCACCCCGCATCTCCATCCTTGATAAGAAACCACTCAGGCTCTTTCTTTTGCAGATTATCATAAAATTTGGTTTAAAAAGAATTTAAGGAAATATTTCCATGGGTAACTAACTGTTCCGGGCTCCGATCGCATCCCCAGTAACACAAGGGGCTGCCTGGAGGAAGCGCGAGCTTTCTTCCCTCTGCTGCAAAAAGGCACCCTCGGATGCGGCAGCGGGTAGGCTGGCCCCACGCAAGGTCTGGGCCGGAGGGTTCAAAGGCACCGCGTACGTTTTCGACACGAAGGACAGCGAAGTGCCCTTCACTTCGGCCACGGTCAGGACTGCAGCATGGAGAAAGCCGACCCTTCACCCCGCGCCGCGGGAAGGGCTGGCGAGGAGGCCGCAGCGGGGAAATCGGGAAGGGAAGTTAAAGGCGACGCGAGGAAACGCAGCCAGCCCGAGAGGCGTGCGGGCGGCGGGGAGGGAGAGGGACGGCCGGCGACTGCTGGAAACCACAAGGGGATCGGATGCGGACGGGAACGGCCGACGGCTCTCGAAACGAACCGGGATCTGGGGGGCAGGCGACGGCGGCGAGTTCCGCTGAAACCGAGCTGTCGCC